AAGATGTACACACACTCCAAATTTCAAGTAATTTGTATTTGTAGAAAAACAATAAAAATTGCAACACTACCAGACAACTGTGACCACGCGATGAAGTTTGGATGGTGATGAGGGTAGGCGAAATCACTGTTCATTTTTGAAGAGTTTTATATATATATATATATATAGAAGGTTGCAACCTTCAAGAATCCAATTAAGGCGCACCTCCAAATTTTATCATAACATGTAATTTTGTTGTAAAAGTTTTTAGGATTATCTTAAAAACTATTTTCATATCTAATTAAAAAATTTTAAACTCCAAAAATGGTTAAAATCAAGTAGATCTATAAACATATGAAAATCTTGAAAATGGACAGTCTAGACAATGTGTTGCAAGATGCACTATTTTTGGGACTCAAAACTTTTTTTTTTTTAATTATTCATACATCTCGATGTCGAGATGATCAATTAGAGGGCTTTTCAACATTAAAACAGTCTTTCCGATAGATTTTTGAGGTGCATCTGTGATTCTATATTTAAGGTTGCAACCTTATATAAACTTTTCCCATATATATATATATATATATATCATGTAGACTTATATATTATTAATAGGACGATTGGATATAAATGGGCAATCTTTAGGCTTAAGAGTGCATCCTTTACCAGGTAAAAAAGTTCACAAAGTGCATAATCCGCCACAGAAAAGAAGCCACAAACTAGAATGATTCACAGTTATGAGAGAAACTCGTCCACAAAGCTCATGGGAATCAGAAAAACACCTGATCATAGTTCAGAGAATCAGCTGAATGGTCCAATGCCGAAATTGTACCAACCGATTGTCCACAATAGTAAACAAGGGACTTCTTCAAAGCGTCCCAAGCATCAGTAACCAAGGGTTGAAGGCCAAAATATGAGTGTGATCTGGGTGTAGACGAATTTAATCTTTTACAAGGTGATAGTGTAGAATCATTTGAGGCCAAGTTTTTCCCGGGATCAATAACTTGAGGGCAAGCAGATGAAACGTGATAAGGATTCTCGTAAGTTATATGTTCCTCATAATTCAACTGATGTTGCCTTAACTCCCTGTTCCTAATATTTGTGCTCTCCATACCATCAGATGGCCCCATATCTGATACAAAGAGGAGTTCAATCTCCTGGTAAATCTTCACAGTGCTCACGAACCTTCAAGTTTTTGCTGATCACTGAAGAAGAAACACTAATTATGTCAACTTTTTTCACTGAAGCTACTCAATAACAATAATAATCATCATCATCCCAACCTTACCCCAACTCTTTGGGGTCGGCTCTACTCAATAATAATAATAACAATAGAAATATTACTAAAGAAAGCACTTTGAAATAACAGTTTTGTGGAAGTTTAGAAGCCCTGGCTACCACATATAGGTCGGTCAGTAGCTAACTATCTTGGAGCCATAATATAAGGTCCTGATTCATTTTTTCCCTTTAATCAATAATAGTAAAAAAAATTCAATATCATAAGAAGGAATGGGAAGTAAACAAAAAAAAATATCACTACCACCAGGACTTAGAAATTTCTGGCCATATGTCCCAGCTTATTACATACATACATGTATGTGTATGAAAGTAGTTAATTAGTTATTGATACATATATGCATTGATGCATCCACTAATATAGGTATAAAATATGTTTTACATCGGGCATTGTGTACGCTTGGCTCCATTCCCACCATGGGCCAAACCTGACAACCAAACAACAATGAACAGAATATCAAATACCTCTTTGACCACCAACAAATCTAAAATTGTAATTCAATGAAATGTGGGCAAATCACAAGTGACAAATCACACTAAATCCAAAGGATAAGTAGAGCATTTGTGCTATTTGATTCATTAGTGCAAAGTGGCCACTGAGGTAGTTTGGCAAATCAACCAAACCAATTTACGAGGGAAGCATTTCAAGCCTCCGTTACATATAAGAATATAACCAAAAGCACATCCCAAACATATGCCTCTGGCAAATGAGACCAATGCTTAAACAAAACTAAAACATAAGGGTACATAAGCTTAGTGTGTTCTGGAGACAAACTTCAAGGGTCAGAGACTTGACCTCCCTAATGCTAACCAAACGTCTTACCATGATGCCATAGCCCAAGGACAGGCTATGAAAAAACCATATCGACCAAAGAGGGAATGTGTTGAGTACCTTTATTCAAAAGGTACTCAAATTACATAGTTTCCTTTTATGTTTCTTCTCTTTCTTTGAATTTTCTCCTCAAATCTCCCTCCTCACTGCACTCTTAGTTTCTTCTATCAGACTGCTTTATGCTATATATCTCTATGTTTGTCTATACTTCCACATACAACTACACTCATGTTTTTCTTGTTTCATTCCCCATGTGTCATTCCATGTACAACTTAAAGCATACTCACTCCCTTCAAGAAATGTATAATGACTCAACAAAAGAAGAAAACCATGCAAAACTCATGGACTGGAAGTCTGATAAGTGATAATATAATTTCTCCACTGCTGCATCAAGTTCAGAATCTTTGTTTTTCAACTACATGCTCCATAGTGAAATCAAATTGTAAATGAAAAAAAAGGACGACGAAATACAAATGCTAACTAAGAAAAACACATTCATGTACTTGAAGCAGATGCCTCATAGCCGAACCACCTCCCAATCTAGACCCTTGCAGCGCATTCCATACCAATGTCCAATGCATGGTATCATAAAAAATAAATACTCTTTAAACGATGTGGTTGCACCAATTCAACAAACACTGGATCCGATTAATCTACTACAGTGTTCAAACTGTTGCATTATGATACAAATACATTTCTGAAGTTTATAGAGACGTAACAAAATTTCCCAGTTTGGTTTGATGGGATTTCTGATAATACGATCCATGCATAACTTCTCTTGTACAGATATAGATTCATCTTCTTTTTGCCATAAAAAAGGCATTATAACAATCGCCCTTTTCATATCAGCATACATTCGTGTGCATCTCTAAATCCAACTAAAAAAACCAAAAAATATGAAAAAAAAAAAATCAATGGCGCAAACTGAAGTATATATTTTCCATTATCATCGAAGAGAAAATAATTCAAGAGGTTGTGGTCAACAAAATAATGATCATAGATTGCTCACGAGATGAATTGTAAGATGCAAATAGTTACCAAAGACAAATGGAACCCAAATTTATTTAAAAAGCGATAAAAAGGAGAAAATACAATGTACATCAGAGGAGTTCCAGAATCATGGGTCGTTCCTCAACCAAGTAACTCAGAGTTCTTATGGTTCTTAGCTCGCTCAGACAACCGGGGATTTTCCCCTTGATCGAATCACTAATGGAGAATTAAGCATTACTCTCATTTCAAATATTGGAACTTGGAAGAGAAGTAGGTTTTTCTCGAGCATATAACTAGCATCCTTTAAAGATATTTTGCTTACTAATTAACAATTTCATTAAGCAACGGAGTATTGACTATTAGATTATAAACTTTTACCCAGTAAGAGAAATCATACGTATTTAGCATTTCAACCTTGATCATGGAACTTGCAGAATAAAGGGATTTAGAGAGAGAGAGCTGGGATTTTCCATACCTGTAGAGGTAGAGAGAGAGAGAGAACGATGAGAGAGAACTGAATTTGAAAATACCTGTGTCGAGAGAGTTGAGATGAGAGATGATGAGCAATGGTATCGCCATGGGAATCGGACAGAGTGGGCGTCTCCGTACAAATGGAGCCTGGTCCTCCTGCCACACTAGCAGGTCCCCTCTCTCTCTCTCTGTAAAAATTTCTCTCACTCGCGCTCTCTCTCTCTCTAAAACCCACACTTACAGGGAACTGATTCTCCTTTAAAATTGTTTGATGAGCTGCAGCCCCATAAAAAATAAATAAAGGAAAAAGTTTGTATAAATATGCAACTTATAATGTAGAACTACGGATGCACCTAAAAAATCCATACGAAAAGATACTTTTAATGTTGAAAAACCCTTTGTTTGATAATCTCGACATCAAGGTACATGGTCATAAAAAATAAAAATATTTTAAGTTTAAGAAATAATGTACTTTACAACATATTATCTATACTGTCCATTTACACAATTTTTGTAAGTTTATATATCTACTTGATTTTAACTATTTTTTAAATTTAAAATTTTATAATTAAATATAAAAATAGATTTTGAGATAATCCTAAAAGCATTTTACATCAAAATTATATACCATGATAAATTTTGAAGGTTCACCTTACCTCTATAGCTACTGAAGCATGTGTATGTCAACTACACCGATAAATAAAACCTCACCTCATAACTCACCAAAAATTGCAATTCAAGCATGGTAAAACCTCTACATAACTTGAACATTATGGTTGTAAAAAAAAAAAAAGGACTTCAAGCTCTAAAAATAGTGTTTTTGACCATCAATCTCGCCCTAGAAGTAAGTGCTCACATATGTGTAATAAATATATATATATTCATCAATTTATTTTTTAAAATCCAAGGTGATCTTGACTCCTTTTTTGCACCAATTGATTATATTCAAAGAATCACCCTCGATAAATACATGAAAGAGTCCTCAAATTTTGATGCAAAATACACAAACTTTGGAGAGCAGCTTCAATTTCCACTGCATTGGCCGTAGTTCTTCCACATGGTCCACCAGAACATCGAAGAACTTCCCTATTAGAATTCCTAATCACCCCTCCAAACCCAGTTGGCCCAGGATTCTCATGTGAACTTCCTTCGAAGTTTAACTGAATAGATTCATGTGGAGGCAGATACCAAACTCAAGCTGGTTGAGCCTTAATTGTTTTCAATCGTATAAGATTTGACAAATTTAAGTTAATCAACCTCAGTCACACCAAAGCCCTCTTTTGTTATAAATAACCAGCTCCATATAGTGTGCATAATTCTCCTCTTGATCACCCCAACATCCGATTATTTACCTTCAAATACCCTGTCATTTCTCTCCTTCCATAACTACCACAAAACCGCAGCCTGGCAATCTGCCAAATTGTTTTTCAACATCCATGAGCCTTATAAAATTTTAATAGTCCAATACCTGAGTATGATTCTCCAATGTAACCATAAGCATCTAAAACAATTAACACCATATATTATAAAAAAACAGCAATGTAAAAACAAATGATCACTACTTTCAACATCTTCTTTACATAATAAACACACATTTACCACCACTCTAGCCCTCTTGATAAGATTATCCACAGTTAAACTTTTGCCTTGGAAAAGTATCCACAAGAAACTTCTCACTTTCAAAGGTACTACCCATTTCCAAATCTTATGCAATGACTCCCATCTCCACCTTAATCTGTCATAAAATAATAGATCATATGCAGATCACACGTTGAATTGACCATCATCCTGGGCTTCCCAAATAATTTCTTCATCCATAAACTGTGAAAGACACCTCCCATGAATAAGAGACATTATTTATGCAAATTGTTGAATCACTGTATCTAGCACCTGAATTCGAGAGAGATGTACATTCCACTGGGCTACCCCACGTCGCATATCCAACATCTCGGCCACTATCAACTCCTTGTTGGTTGACAAATCAAAAGGGATAAAAAAATTGGTATTTTAAAGCTTCACCTTCTACTCATCTACGATGCCAAAAAAGTATTGAATTTCCACTACCAAGAATCCACCTCAAACTGCTAAGAATAAAAACTCTCCACTCAAATTCCTCTCTAAACACAAGAACAATTTGCCATCTTCTTACATCTGAAAAACAATATCCAAACCATATTTAGTAGCCAAAACCTCACACCATAACCGATCCCCCCACATTCTAAAATGCCACCACCGTTTTGCCAATAATACTTAATTAACTAATTTCACCCTTCTAATACCCATACCCCATCTTTTCTGGTGTGCATACCATATCCCAATTAATCAAGTGGTATTTACAGTCATCACTATGAGAGCCCCAAATAAAATTTCTCATTAGTTATTTCAAAATACTTGCTCACTGAAGATGGCATGACCAACAACGACATCACATAAATTGGAAAATCGGAAAGATATGCTTGAATAAGAGTACGCCTATCTCCCAAAGATAAATTTTGTATTCCATAAGTCTAGCTTAGTATGAGCTCGCCGAACCACTGGTTCCCATACAGACTTTGGCAGCTTAAAATTCAAAATAGGTATTCCTAAATACTTGATAGGAAAACTATCAACTCTATACCCCACCACCTCAGCCAAGGTCTCAATTAAGTCTTGTGAACTTCTCCTTCCAACCATTTGTTTTATGAAAATTCATCTTTATTCTCAAAACCATTTCACAACATTGTAACATCGTCTTTATACTGCACACTTCTTCCATATTCACCCAACAAAAAAGTAAAATATCATCTGCATATTGCATATGTGAAACAACCAAATCAGTGTTTGTGACAACCTTAAAACCTTAAAATCGCTTTCCCAATGCCACATTCTACTCTATCAGACTAAAAGTTTATGACACCGTGGTAAACAAAAAATGAGATAAAGGGTCTCCCTGGAGCAAACTCCTTGTCTCTCCAAAAATCCCTTTGGACTCCCATTTACAAAAACTGAGAAATGCACATTAGAAATATACTCATTTATCCACGATATCCACCTCTCCCCAAAAACCATCCCTCTCATAATTTCGAAAATCACCTCCCATTCAACCATATCATATGCCTTCTCCATATCCAAATATGCCTTATCTATATCCAATTTCAACACAAATCTTGGTTCGCTATTTAACTTCATGTAATGGATACACTATTGGACAATTAGAATACCATCAATAATCACCCGATCTCTAATGAAAGTTGATTGTGGCCCAAAAATAACACAGTGTAAAATAATTTTTAACCTTCTTAGCAAAGTTTTTGCAATAATCTTATAAATACTAGTTAATAAACTGATCAGCCGAACATTAGAGATTATCGATACACTTGATTGCTTCGGGATCAAAGCAATAACAGTTGTATTTATCCCCTTATGAACAAAACCCCTATGAAAATATTCTTGCACCATAAGCAACAAACCCAATTTAACACTATCCCAAAACATTTGAAAGAAACTTAATGGAAATCCATCTACCCCAGAGTCTTATCACCTAACATAGTAAAAACTATTGCATTTAATTCTTTCTCACCAACCATCACCTCCAAGCTTTCCACCATGTTAGTAGATAATCTCCGAAATTCCACACCCTGATATTTTACTTTAAAGGGCATTTCACTAGTAAAAACTTTTAGAAAATGCTTAACAAATTCCAACTCCCATTCCTTCCATCATTCCTATCTACGCCTTCAAAGGCAATAGCCGAAATATAGTTTTCTCTCCTTCCCGAACTTGTTATTGCATGAAAGAGCTTTGTATTTGCATCACTTTAACCATTTCACACGAAATCTTTGCTTCCAATACATCTCCTCCAATTGTAAATTCCGACTCATTTTACATAACATATAATCCCTTTCTAAATTCTTCCTCGTACAAAATATAGCCCCTAATTTGGATTGAAGTCTCAATCACATCCAAGCCCCTCAAACATTCATCAGTCTTATTTTTAATTGGGAAATTCTTTTCTTTCCTCCATTATGATAACATATGCTTAATATTAATAAATTTATTATGAACTTGAAAGCCAAACGATCCTGGAACGATGACATTACACGATGATCTTTTAATCATCTCCACAACCTCATTGTCCTCAAGCTACACCTTCTCTATACGAAAAGGCTTAGAGCCTTTGAAATAATTATTTTTTAATCAAAAGTAATGGGATATGGTATGATGATAGCTTTGTGAGAGCTACAACTCTTGCAAGAAGAAAAATCTCCTCCCATCTTCAAGGAATAAAAAAACGATCAATTTTGCTCATAATGTAATTATTTGAACAACTATTTGACCATGTGAACTTAGTTCCATTAATTGGCAAATCAATCAGCTCATTTTGGATAATGAAATTATTGAAGCATCTCATAGCAACATTGATAGGATTTTTCGAAGATCTTAGCATACCATTTTACCATATTAAAATCACCTCCTAAACACCATGGTAAATTTAAATCATTAACCAAAACAGAAATTTCATTTAATATGGATTCTCTCAAAACATTAGTAAGAGGACCAAAAACATTAACCAACACCCACTTGAACTTCCCACCATTTTCTACAAAAACAACAACAAAAAAATGTTTCATTTCAAGAACATCCAAACACAACATAATCGGCGAATCCCAAACAACCCAAAGACCCTAGATGCACCTACTGCTTGTATACCAGCAAAACCCACAAAACCTCCACCCCATACCTCACTAACACTATTAACAGCCGGTTTAGGGAGCTTAATCTCCTACAATATCATGATTTCTGGTTTATGTTGCCTAACCAGAAGCAAAACTCCCCTTTTACACTATACTTCTCTCAAACCACGCACATTTCAGTCAAGAACTTTCATAAGAAAGATTGGTCGATGGCCCTCCCTCTTCCACCAAACCACTTTCCTTGCTACTTTCCAGGTTTACCACGTCCTCAATATTTTCAAAAATCTGAATCCCCATGTTCAACTGACTTGGTCTTTTAGCAGCAATCCTTGAAAAAATACGAAGAGGTAACCCTGCACCCCGCACTGTCTTCTTTCATTTGACATTATCTTTACTAATCTTATTCCCAAGCTTCACATCTCCAACATCTTTGTTTTTCTTCTTCATCTTGAAACACTCATTCATTACTTACAAGACCTGACCTATGGTAACATCAAAAGATGCTCCCAAATCACTAAACATCTCCTTTATCTTATTATCTTCACCAGCCCTTTCCCGATCACCCAGGTCCTTATTCTCACCCACCTCTCCATTCTCCCCCA